TTAATGGTATGAAGTATATTCAAAATTTGAGCTAGATGGTATAATATTTTGCTCAGAAATTTGAATATAATAGATATTAGGTACGACACTGTAAAATTTGAATAATTGAAGGTTGATATTGTACTTACAAATTATTTACTCTATTTTTATTTGAAATAATTGATAAAAATTAAATTTAATAAGTCGTAATATAGAAAATCAACCTTCTCTTATACAGAAAAATACATAAATTAACATTAAAAAATGCATTTGTGCAGATAAAAAAGTGCAAGCAGGGTGAATAAAACAAGCCATACATCAATTTAAAAACTGTAGTGTACTCTCAAATTCATGCAAATAGAGACTAAAAGGCCAATCAATCGAATAGTCGAATAAAATCTCTTTGCCCAGATAAAAAATAGCCAGGCTGAAAGAAAATATATAAATGTTAAATATATATTCACATAACCTAAGGCAGTTACCTTTTGGAAACTTCGGCGCAAATAAACTTAAGTGATATCTAAAAATTAATGTATCTTAAGATAACTGTATAGTAAAAATATAGAGAAAGTTTTAAAATTTGCAAAATATATGTTATATCTCCGGTAATTTCATTAAAAATTGAATTGAAGACAAAAACAATTAACGATTGGCTTTAATTCATTACTATTTAATACTAAAAGTTTAAAAGTTTGAAGGAGGTGCTACTCAAATTTAGGAATCAAACGACACAATAAAATTTAACCCAATAACACATTTTATAGACAAAATTTCACAACACGTACGAGACATATTGACATAAACTACTGATTTTTAGGAGATTGTAGATCGAAGTGTGATTTAATTTTAATTTTAATTAAAATAAATAAAATGATTAGAGGTAGTTAAATTTTATATAATTAAAAAAAAAAATAATCGTAGTTGAACTTTTTCAGAAAAATTAGAAAAAGAAGATAAAATAGCGAATTCATTAAGCCAGATGCAAGAAAAAAATAAAAAATTTAAAATTAAATCACATATAGTAAAAATAAGCATATATTGCATTATGCTTGTAACAGTTGGAATTATTAGGAAAAATATTATAGGAATTTTGACAAAAACATTTTAAACATATTAACATATATACAAATAGACAAATAACAAAAAACATTGTAAATTTTCATAAAACATACCTCCATGATCACTGACTCTGCTCTGTCGACCAGCTGCTTGTTCGATTATATCGTTTAGCACCATGACATCTGGGAAGTTTTCGAATAATTTTATAAAAAAATAGTTAAAAAGAATATTATTTGAGTGAAAATCAATATACTAGAAAATTGTTTATATTTACCTTTCATATCTACAACTGTTTGCTGCTGAGCAGGTTCAATAAAAGGATTGTCGATTTGTTTTATTTTTCCCATCTCGTCAGTATATTCCATCGAACCATGCTGAAACATTAAGGAATACATAATTATAGAAAAAAAAGTTAGTTATAAACATTTATTTTGGTGAAATTAGTATAATAATGTAATAATCAACAAGTTGGTCAAGACTTTAGAATGGGTTTACTGATCACAATGATCATAATCATTCACCATTATTAATTACCCGAGTATACATTTCAAATCTTCTCCAAATATTCAAAAAATATTTTTAATAATATTCAATAAAAGCACAAAATTTGAAAAAAAAAGATGATCCATCAAGGAGATATTCGAGAAGGTTAATTGTCTGTTTCGTTTCATTTCTTGTATTGCTGTCCTCAAATATTTTCGCTTAAATATCACTCAATTTCTAGAAATCATGGTATTGTTTGTCTCATTTTTTTTTTATAATATTAAAAATAATTTTTACCAAGTATATAAAATAACAATTTTTTATTACTCACGTGTGGTTCTCGGCCAGGCATCTTGTGATTTGTGTCAGTATATGTCGGTTGCTGAGTGATCGGCGTCTGTTGCTGTTGCTGCGCCAGTTGAGCAAGTTGCTGCTGCGTGTTTCGTTGACTTCGACTTCTTAATCTGGATTCCTTGGTCGCGCCACCCAGCAAATCGCCGTGAGAAGTGTACGATAAGCGGGAATGATGCGATGTATATGAGGAATGTCGCGAACCTGCAAGGAGGCGAGCTGATCTGTTGATTTGCTGTACTGACTTAAATTAGATTATAATTTGAAAACTCTAGCCTTACAATTAGTCTACTCTAGTTTCCACCCTTTGAAATGCGTCCCTTATTAGTTAAGTATTGATCAAATTATATTAGAAAATACTTTGTTTCTTTTAAGGACCAGACAGAATTATTGTTATTAATTAGGCTATAAGAATAAGTCCCGTAACGCCGGACGGCACCTAGGGCCGGACACTCTATTTAACACGTATTATTTAAGCGAGCAATAAATGTTTTTATTTCAAAATACAAATGAAAGGGGCGCGGGGTGCACACAGGTGCAGGATCCCGCACCAAGCCTCGCCTGTGATGCATACGGTGACGGCGGAAACAATTGATTGCTGTTTTAGGCAAAAAATCACGGCGTCACTTAAATATCAATGGAAGTAATTCTAGTATATTTATGCATTTAAATTTGAGTAGCATTCAAAGATAAAAATAGTACTTCATTATCTGTAAAATGGTTGAATATTATTAGATCTTTTAATCAATTTTAGTAGGCACAAATGAACGAAAATGTCTGTTCCTTAGCCCTTAGACGACACTTAAGTCGTCTCTTAGCGCCGGACAGTAAACGTATTGATATTTCTTGTGAGAATTGACGTAATTTATTCTAATTTTTCGTATTTCCCAGTCAAATAATAAAAAGCTTATGATGAATACTCCATCTGAGAGCATCGGTGTGGCCCAGCCAAAATGGGGAATAAATAGTGACTTTTTTTTGCAATATCTATAAATATTCGTCAAACACACATGTGCAGACATTCCAGAGTGTGGAGATGGCTACATATGCGTTTAATGCAGGTTATTTTGAAACGTCCGGTACTAGGTGCCACTTTTTAAAATCATATATTTTGTTACCAAAGTTTGATTAATAATATTAATTATTTTTTGGCAAAGGTTGCGTTTTTGTTAATTTAGTTTGATTTCTATCTTTGTTATCTAACATAAGTCATAATTTAATAAACATTTCGTAAAATATTTTTTGATTTATTTATAAATAACCTTAGGTGTCCGGCACTCGGGGACTTCCCCCTATGTTCCATTACTAGAAATCTCTGAAAAAATATATCAGCAATTTTTTACTTATCGTATTGAATTATGAAAAAAGGATAACAAATAAAACAAATATCATTTTAACTTAGGAATATTTTGCCGATACAAAATAGGATATACACAAGTAAATCGAATTATGAAGATTTAGAAAGTCATTAATTAAAAAATAAATGATTTTCTTAAAAAATGTCTTTCTTAATTTGCAAAAATATTTCTTTATTTTTTTGTTTCGAATCTAAGTTTTTATCTTTGCTCACTCGGAATGCGAAAGTACCTAGATTCCCAGGATAGTACACCGGCATGATGATGGCACCATTCTCTTCCGACATTGGAGTGACAGCATTGGAATCGTCTGCATATGGTAAATGTTCTTGCGCATCGAGATACGTGGATAACACTAACGGCTTTCGGTCGCAAACGCCCGCGCCATTGGAGGCAGGTCCTCCAGGGTAGCGGCCTCGACCATTCCGCACTGTGAACTGATGGGAACCGCGTGATCCGCGGCGTAAGTTGAAAGGCGAGCCAGGCAGTGATAACGAGGCCTGCGAAAACGATCAAGCAGAGATGTAACATGGGAGACAAAAAATCATTATATAATATATTTTGATAATGTTATTGGTTCAATATATATAGTAAATGTTTTAATTATAATTCATATTTAAGAATTGGATATAAAGTTGTTTTTAATAAATAATACCAGATCAGTCAGCACTGTGTTTTCATTACCGATATAAAATAAAACAATCTTAAATAAATAAAGGGGCGTTCATTAATCACGTAATCGAGTTCTTAAGAATTTTTAGACCATCCCTTTCCCTTGGTGATAAGTGGTGATATTAAAAATTCGTATTTGAGAATTAGATATAAAGTTGTTTTTAATAAATAATACCAAAATGAGTCAGCACTGTGTTTCTACTACCGATATTATATAAAAACTATCTCAAATAAATCATAATATGTATGTATATGTTAGGGAAGTTCTTAACATAGATATTTTCAATTTTTTCTGCTCGCAAAGGCTAAAATGCTTCTAAATTGACAAAAAAATCTTTGAAAGTTTTAGCGCTTAATATTAACTTTAAGATAATCTGCTCTCCAACCAAAGTTACTTGGTTCTATTTTATAAAATATATCAAACTTTTGTTGTAAATTTTGTATTTATGATCAACATGAGCAAATACAGTGTTATTTTCAAAATCTTGATTCACTTGTCGCTAAGTTATAAAATTCGAAAAAAAAATGGAATTTTACCCATGTTATTACCACAGAAACTTTGGTTGGAGTATAGACTATCTTAAAGTTAATATTAAAAAACTTAAACTCTCTGATATTTTTTTTATCATTTTAGAAGTAATTGAGCCCCTAAATGCAAAGACCTTCGGAATATCCATATTAAAAACCACCCTTTGTATATATATTGATTTATGTTTCGTTTCCGAACAATTATTCGAATTAATAAAAATCAACTTTTTTTTGGACGTTTCATTACAACGACTCGAAACTAGACACGTTACATCATCAGTTATATCATCACGTTTACATCAAAATATAAGTAATTTTTTATCACTTGTAAAATTTTTTTTAAGATTATTTGAAAAGTTTGACTTTCCTTTACTTGCTAATGGCAGTGATATTAGTAAAAATAATTATCAAAATTAAGCTTGGTAGCAAAGTATAAAAGCGGATTAAAATCTTTGATCGTTTTACAAATGGCACGTATCTTATTTTGTACGTATCTAATGGCCAACTTGTGTTGTGCCACATCACTCCCCGTTCAGAATACAGCCATTACCAAGTAAAATCAATTCAAAATTTTCAAATATTCTTAAGAAAAATTAAAAAACATGCAATTGACAAGAAATTAGAATTAAAATTATTTCAAGAAACATAATTTAGTTTTCTTTCTATTTTTATTATCTGAATTGATGGCGGTTTAATAAGTATATTGCTCCATCAACACACACACATATTATTATATGTGTATGTGTGTGTACGTATACACCAAGTGTTTTAGTGCATTTTCCAATTAATTCTTCCAAATACAAAAATATTAATTTATGTGTACTATTGTCGATGTTGTCTATATTTTGCCATTTTATATGTCCTGTTATAATTTTTTTTCGTAATTTTTAATTTAGTCTTTTGGTCATCGCACTGGGGATAAGTAATAAAAAGTTCATTTATAACTACATAATTTAGTGTTTTGTAATGTCCTGATTATGTATATATACATATTCATATACATACATATATTTATATATGTATAGATTTCTTATTTTTCAATCTCACATCCTTACTGATACTGATTTCAAATTTTAAATCTTATAAATACATTTCAAGAAAATTTGTTTAATAGATTATTTGCTCATATATTTTTGAAAAATAAGTATTTTTCTACCAAATTTTATTTTCTTCGGCTTACTTAAAAGATTTTAGGCCTTCTGAAAATTACTTTAACTACTTTATCAAAGCAATCCAAAAAGAAATTGATGATTTTATAAGAGCAATTAATTTAATTTAATTAGCAATTTTATAAGAATTATTTGAAAATATTTACATAATGGTGCATAACAAGATATTTATCTAAGTAATTTTATAATTACAATAGTTGAGTGTGATAAAATTTACAGTAAATAAAAAAACTCATGTATAATAATAATATTAATAATGAAATAACTGAAATATAATTTATATAAGTTTTACTTATATTACTATGTTTTATTCAATTATCTAAATCAAATTACTGGTTAAAATAAATTATACGTGATACTCTTACGTTTTTCACCATTTTTAAATTGGTTTTTAAGGAACGTACCTGCGAGCCTTCCTGACAAGCAAATGATATCTGGCTTTTAGTTCCGAATTTGGCAAGCCTTTCCTGTTGCTATTATGGAACAAACAAAAATCTATAAAACTCCTAAGCGATACGAAATTATTTCAATCGCAAAAGCTGGCGCTGTCGTAGATCTCATTGGTTTTATAACAATTTTGGCATAAAAGCATATAAAAATAGCATAAGAATTTGGCTGCAAATCGCTTTGTTAATCATTTTGTAATTTAGTTTTTTGTAAGTATTCCGAGGATTTTTTGAACGGCTCATTTCATCAGGTCAATTGAGGAGTAAAGCACGAAAGTACGACCAAAAGTGCACAAAACATCAAATGTTAACATTTATTGAGATCTATCCAAAAATTCAAAACCATTAGTAAAATTATATGTTTTCAAATACTTCTTGTGTAGTATTATACAAGTTAAAATATTCATTTATTTTTGGCTAGACCTCTAGAAGTATTATATTTATGAATAAATTGAATGACAATGATAGTGAAGTATAGAATGAAAGTGGAGAAAACGACCTTTTCCGGAATTTCACATCGCTGAACAGATAAATATCTTACTATGCACCATTTCACATCAATATATTTCTTGTAAGCAAGTTAAAGCAATTTTAAATTACTTTTATATATAAAAAACAAAAAATATTAAGAAGCAGTATATTAATAAATATTTAAATTTAAAATCATTTCCAAAAGTTCAATGTGATGAGGTAAAATTATGTATTTTTAATATTTAGTAATATAGTTTTATATTAAGTATTAGGCATTCTTGAAGGAAAAAATTCATACTCACCTGCAATATTGCAACCACAAAGTCAAAGTGTCTACTTATTTACAAAAATGTGATAGAATAAAACTATTATGAAAAAGTAGAATAAAATTGGTCTTACCTGTTTTGTTTTTGGTCTATCATTTTTGTGCAATTTCACAAATTTTAATAACATCGAGTAAATGAATAAAAAATTTAAAATGAAATGGAAGAATATAAAATATGAAGATACATGATGTTTTACAAGAAAATAATGTCAAGACTAAAGTGCAAATCATCGGATTCAATATTATGCTTGAATTGATGATTATGAATTAAAAAAAGATTATCTATATTAGTTTGTAATAATTTTGTTATACTTGAATCCGATTTTTTCTAATATTTCATGCACATGATAGAACATTAACAGTGTTAAAAGTTCAACAATGGACATGAAGGATTTTGGATATATCGATGGACTATGGAGATCGTCTCGGAATCACTAGCTAGCATCTACTATTTACTTTTTTATTCCTAAATTTAAACTACTGACTAACTCTATCTATCGCAATAATAGTTCGATAAGTTGTACCAATTCATTGATTAATAAAGAGATTCGCAGATTTACGGTTTATAATATTTATATTTTCACATTTAATTAGAATTAATCAAGTAGAATTGTTTCACGTAAATACTATTGTTAATAATTCTCATTTCAATAGTTCAATATTCAACATAAATAATTAATATTATAATTATAACACATATAGAATTTGAGTATTGGACAAATAATTTAATAAAAAGTATAATGGAATAACAAAATTTTCAAAAAAAATTGTATAAATAAATTTTTGGAAAATAATCAAAATTAATTAATTAACCAATTTTGTAAAGAAAAACATTTGTCCAATACCCTCCGTTATTTCAGCAGGATAAGGAAGGAAAGCTGATGGAGAAATGCTTTGAGCTTTTTTTATACTAGATTATTTCATTATAATAGTATAATAGTATAAAACAATTTGTTGGTTTAGTTCCAAAGTATTTAAATTATTTTGATATACAAAGTAAAGTTAATTTCCATAATTTCAACTCAGATCCATGGATCTATTTATGGTATACTTTTTAAAATTTAATTTTGATACGTTTATATTAAGGAATTGAAAACAAATAATTAGAAAGTAAGAAAAAATGATAAGATCATAGAAATAACAAAAATTCATTTTCAATCAACACACGTGATATAAAAATATATATTTTAAATTTTTTGGTGAATTTTGAATAATTTTAATTTTGAAAATATGATTGGGCATCCGAGTATAGAAAGGATAAGCAGAGTTATTCCTAAATGCAATGAATTTTTATATATTGATATATTTTTATCATTGCATATAGGAATGTAGAAATGTAAAGGAGTCATTAAAACGCTTCGAAATTTAAAAAATCATGTAGCATCAATAATGTTTTCATTATTGTTTTCATAGAAAATAATAAAAACATTTCGTATAAAATAGTTATGTTTTATTACGGATCTCTTTTGTTGAATAATCGAATGAGTTGGTAGTTACAAATTGTCAAAAGGTAATAGTAAGTTCAATGCTATAATTTGATCGAACGATTTGTATTATACAGATTTCTGAAACCTAACCTCCAAATGGCACAAATTCCAAATAATTTAATAACAATATTATTGAAAGTGCAATTTTTTATTGTTATTTATAATTACACAGGCGTGAAGTCGAATTATGCTTATATTCTGACTGTATGCCATTTGAAGGTTAGGTTTTAAAAATTAATATTGTTAAAAACGCTCAATTGAACAGCAAAGACATATAATAGCTTTTTTATAATTTATAATATAATGTGACAGTTAGTGACTACCAACTGATGCAATTTTTCAACATAAAAGACCGATAACAAAGAATAAGTATTTTATCCTAAAATTGGTCCCTAAAATAAAAGAAAAAGAAAATTGATACTTTTGGATAGATACGTAAAAATGTGATAATAATAAATCAAACATTTATGAATTATATATGAATTGGAATTGTCATATTTTATGAAATTAATTGAACATGAAAATTCCAATAACAATAAAAATGTTTCCTTACTGAAAGATTCCAATTCTTCTATAAAATAGATCTTATGGTAACGCTATGCTATAGGTCTATCTTCGTATGAATTAGTAGTAACAAACTGTCAAAAAGCTATGTATATGATGTGCAATCAGGAGTTTTACACATAAAAACAAACTTCACGTATGTGTTATCAATGAACATCAGAAAGATGCACTTATGATAAAATTGTTATTTGACGTTTGTGCGTTTTGTAGGTTAGGTTTTATGTGTAAAACGCCTAATCGCACAGCAAATATATATATTTTTGACAATTATTCACTACCAACTCATACGAAAAGAAACCCTTAACATAGCGTTACCAGAACAATTCTATTTTATCGGTAAATTTGATCCTTATTATATGTCACTTTGAGTTTAGGGACCGATTCTGCCGCATAACAGAAAAATGATATGGCAAGGTCATGTTATGAAGAACTTTCCATACTAATATCGACAAAAGCCATGCGGTAGGTGTGCGAATTTATCAGGTTTTCTGATAGAAAACATAACCTAGAAGCCGCACAAATGTCAAAATTAGATAACAGTGTGTTTCTGATACAGCTCCATAACATACGAGTGACGTTGCAGTTTATGTGTAAAACGCCTGAATAAACAGCAATGACATTTTGACAGTATTCAGTATGATTCATTAGCATAATGTATAGAAGTCGGAGCGTAACATGGCCATGCCGTAACATTTTTCTGTTATGCGGCAGAATTGGTCCCAAGATGTAATGCGCGTAACCTTTAAAACAAGTTATCAAATTAAATTATAAATTATGCGTATGTTTCATTTTCCACGTTTATTAAGCGTTTCATGATCATCCAGGACAGGAAGGTTCGGGTATGATTCGGACAAAAAGACACAGGCGCAGGATGGTGGAGCACTTACCGCGCTGACCCTGCGCGCTTTAGCCGCGGCCTGTCTGGCAGCTATTTGATCTTGCTGTTGCAGCGACGCGGCGGTCGGTCTCTGATATTCGCTCACCGACTCGAGTCCTTCGCTGCGCAGTGACATCTTTTCTCGATTGTTGTCGTCACTGCAACCCTTCTCTTGGCCAACGAAGAGCTCGTAGCTGTGACAGCTGAAGTCGGACGGTGACTTTATGAGATTCGGATCCTCGGTTATTCCGGCTTCAGCAGCAGCCGCAGCGGCAGCGGCGGCTTCGCGATTCGCTGCGTGGGCCTCCAGTTTGGCGGCTCGTGCTGCTGCCGCTTCTTCTGCTTCCTAAAGGAGAAGATTGAAAATTATGTAAGCTTTTGGTAAATTATTGTAAGCTTTTGAATCACATTTCGTGCAAATTAATTATTATGAAACGATCAGTTATATGCCAGTTGATTATGCAACAAAAGGTGGTAATGGTTGGTTCTGTCGTTGCCATGGTTCATATTATGACACATCAGGTCGGGTAATTGGTGGGCCAGCTCCAAGCAATATGGAGGTACCAGATTATTTCTTTTTAGTGAGAATACTATAGTACTTGAAACAAATATTTCTTAGATAGGAATAATTATTGTTATGCCAAAATGCACAGATATAGAGTCTATATTGGTCACAGGTGCTGCGCCGATAGTTATAGATCATAATTAATTTCAGATTTATTATGAAACGTCTTATTTATAAATAAATACATTTTAAATTACTGTATTTGATAAGATTATATGTCAACATATATTGAAAATAGCGTTTTCGACAAGTCACTTATAATTAGAATAGGATGGAGCACAAAGTTCCAATTTGACTTTAAGTAATTATACTGTGAAAACCAAACCAACTGTATCAGAACAAATAACACATATCGAAGAAGCAAGTAATAAACTATATTTAGTAAAATTCCCAGCTCATTGTAAAAATATGTTTTGAGATGTTTGCCTAAAAATTGATATCAGGTTCTTTTTACCCCTATGATGAGGTAATAGCCAGGGGACAAAAAGAGCAATCACTATTTTATTTTTAATTTTAAATAGTTTCTACAGCAAAGGTACTAAGGCCAAGTACATTAGCTTGAAATAATATTGAGGAAGATTTTACGACGCCACTTTTGTTCTGATAACAATACAAAATATTTTACAATGATAACTACATTATTTTATTATTACTACGTAGTTTCATTATGAAATTGAATAACGATATTAAACAATTATATTGCAAATATAATTTATTTTACACATAATAAATAAAAATCTTTTTCAACTCCTACTACTATCAAAAACCTTGCTCGCGAAATTATTTTTTTTTTATCATTATCAACCTTTTGTTTCTGATGAAAATAAAATTATTACAAATAAGGTAAATACAACTTCTATTTCAAATACATTGCATGCAAGCTTTGTATGAACCTTCGTCAGAAGAATTCGTCATCAGAATTGGAATAACTATCAATTTAGCTCATATCAAAGTGTAGTTCATAATTTTTATTTTTTTTATTGCTCACACTTTTTTGTTTAGTTGCTCTTTTTTAGCCTAACTACATGCAAACTTTCATAGAGTTTATATAAAGAAAACTCTTAAACTTTAAAATAACAATGCATCTTATAAAACAATTAAATAACGCATACTTCAAAATTGAACCAAACAAACCACAAAAAATTGTTATCACTATTGTTATATTGCCTCATAATAATGTTGCACGAATCAAGTTGATATTTGGTTACACATATTTTGCCCTCTATTTCAGTATAATGGATAATGGTGGTAGCCCTATTTACCCGTGGACATATGAACCGTGTTCTACCCTATATAATTTAATTGATGTCGATAGAAATAAACTTAAAAAAGTTAACTATTTCATAAAAGATTCTTTTTAATATAAACAAAACATAAACCTAAATGTGTTTCATTCTACTTGTAATTAATTTTGAGTATTCAAGTCTAACAAGGATGAATAATTTAAATATAATACTCATATTCAATCCAAAAATGGTTTTGTACTTACTCTGATGGCTTCTTCTTCAGCTGCTTCTTCCTCTTCTGCTTTCTTTTGCAATTCATCGTACGACATCGCGACGATAGCCAAGATCAAGTTAACCAGATAGAACGATCCCAAAAAAATAATAACTATAAAGAACAACATATGCCATGGTCCAGCCGATCGCAATACCTAAATATAGAAATCACAAATTAACAAAATGCAAATACATTCTATAAATAGGATACGGAGCCTAGATCTCACCAATTGATATAAATTTTCCCAGTAATCTTGTGTCATCAATCTGAACGCCGACAAAAAAGCCCAACCGAAAGTATCAAAACTCGTGTACCCGTAGTTTGGATTACCGCCAAATCCTTGAAGGCACCTGTAGCCTGGAGCGCACTCACTATAACAAAAATAATGTTATTTGTGCCAGCAATTAATTTTTTGTACGAAATTTCGTAGAAGTAAGAAATTTACGTACCCAGCACCTGACGAATTTCCACATAAGGGCATGTCCCCGCTTTCCGTTACATACCAATTCGCTAAAAGCAAGGAAAAAGACATTGTAATTCAAGTATGATAACTTTTATTTTACCTACAACTTCACACAATAGGTTTTAATATATCATAATAATATTTTTCTTGCATAGTTTTATTGCCGATCAGAATAATATATTTTTTAAGACAATATGCTGGGTGTGAATGCATTTAAAAAGATTATCTCCTATGAGATATCTCTTTTTTATTTTTTGACATTTGATTTAAGATCGTTTGGCCATTTTTTTGCAATCATAATAATATAGTAATATAAATTTATAAATTATTATAATCCACACAAATCATGATAATCAATAGATATATGTTCTATATAATTCGATTTAATATTTGTTTTCAGAACAATCATGTTTGTAAATATAAATGTTAAACCCATTTAAATTGATTGCATGCACGTTTACATATTAAACGGTTCGCAAATAAATAAACTAATTTTTATCGCGAGTTCAATTTTATTTGAATTATGGAAGTTTTTTTTTATTCATTCGATATACATTTCGTTTGAAATTACATTTCAGTATGTTCATCGAGTATCTTTCTGAAATGTAAATACTTCTAAACGCTATATTAGATTCTAGATATATATTCTATTAGTCGCAGCAGTTAAAAATTTAATATTAAACAAATTTTTATATGCAATAGTGTCTATTATACTATTAAAATGTACAACACAAAGAATTAAAGAAAATTAGTGATCTAATAAAATAAAACTTGAATAAAAAAATTAAATCTAGAGTCTAAATTTATCTGCAAACAATCATGACTGAACTCCATAAGTCATTATTAAATATTGTCGTTATAATTTACTGAGCTAAAGGGATTGGTCATGTTTCCATACAGAATTAGTCCCACCATAGAAATTAAATGATTTTGATGCCATTTTATTGCTTTTTTGAAAGAAATTAGATATACCAATTTCAACTCCCTAGTTGAAATCACTTGGCCAAGATATTATTGAAAATATGCGAAATTGGTCCCCTTTTTTAAAGTCATCATTCTAATTTTATTTTTTTGGCTCCTAAAATATATATTATAAATGCAGTTTCGTATTGTGGCAATGATGCCTATATGAGTTAATATTAAATACTTATAATATTTACATGCATAATCGTGTGATCAGTAATAGATTAGATATCAGTATAGGTATAAAATTAGGAAATTAGGAAATTGTCAAATGATTATAAATGATTATAGAGACACAGAAAGGAAATGCTTTAACTCAATTAACCAAAGTTAAAATTTTGTCTTACTGTTGTCTTTATTTTTATGTACTGTTTTTGTATGCTGAACTAGAATGTTCATTTGTATACCAAATTATCTTTTCTATGATTTTTCATTACTCATATCTAATACAATTACGCATACAGTTTTGTACCAAACCACGCGATTCTGTGTCTTACTTTCAACTAAAATTTTGAACAAAATGCAGTTTTGTTACATATAGTTAACATGAAAAAAAAAAGATATTTTAATACTCTATTGAAAGCATCAGCGAGTGAAATGTCCCAAACAGCATCGTTTTATAAGTGATTTAATTTATGACAGTCCTTTCTAAATGTAACACATCTGGGCTGACTGTCTTCAAATTAAAAAAAAAGTTGGCCGAAGAATATTGATCAATAAAAATCATAGCATTCTGTGTTATATATGTACACCAAACAGACGATCCAATTCACTTCCCGAATATAGATTACATATAATATAAATTATAATATATTCAACGTATACTAATGTAATCGGTCATGAAGACTATAAATAGATAAAGATGAATATGTATAAAATTAGGATAATAAATATGTAATATATTAAAATAATTTTTAACGAGTGTATTAGCAAGGAACAATTAATAACTGGTAATCACAAGTTTAATTCGATAGTATCGATAGTAGAATTAGTAGAATTAATTACAATGATCTTACTTTCATTGCTCATGAATCTCTCCCAGTTTTCGTCAGTGAGGTTTCCCCATGAGCCGTCCTCCGGAAAATTTTTGATGCATTTTTGCGTGAGGACGCCCATGTAGATTTGTAAGCCCATGAGTGCGAACACGGACAATGAGAACATCGTCAGAATTATCACATCCCGAAGATTCTTCACAGACTCTATGACGGCTCCGACGATGGTCTTCAAACCTTGTTAAAGGATAAATGATTTGTTTATAACTAATCTCATAAAATGAATACATAAATCATTATATTATTTATAAATATTACATTAAGTAAAATAAGTTTATGATAAAAGGCCAAGAGACTAATCTCAAATTTTATCACAAATATTAGGTTCAAGCTGATGTAGAGAAAAAAATAAAAAAATGAATATTCTATCACTGTTTTTTTTTCAATACAAATATTTATACTATTTTCACACCACAGAATTATAAAAATGTGAACTACATACTTTCAACTAATTGAAGTATTTAAAACTACTCTTTCATTTAATGATTTGAATTTTTAATTTGATGTTGATATATGGACTACCAGCAGGGTCTAATAATAGGGTTTAAAATCAATAAAAAAAAATTGAATAAAAAAATGATAATTAAAAATCCATACGTTTCATTTGGTTAAACAATACTATAAAAATAATAATACAATACTGTTTTACTAAAGTAATTGAACACCTCTAGGTTTATCGATGGCAACCCTTTCGCCAATATTTAAAAATCGTTTTACAAACGTTTTTTTAGGTAGATAGAGCGGATAAATTTAAGCTTATGAAAATCTTAGGAAAATATTAATCTAAATTCTGTGATAAAATTTCACTAAAAAAACGATACAAAATCAGTTATCGAGCTACATGAAAAATTATTGGGCTACTAAAATGAGTATAATGAAATAGGGATTTGTAGAGAGTGACAATTTAGAGTTGTATGTATTTTTAATTCCGCATTTAAAAAATTAAAATTAAAGCAAAATTGGCCCCAAACCTAAAAAAAAAAATGTTAGTGGTGGACAACCCTCGATAAACGAAAATTGTTTAAAGTGAAATTTAAGCTTTTCGATAAGCTTATGAAAATCTGAATTAATTTTCAGTTACTAAAGATTACTATTGTTTAAATAAGTCCAATAAAATAAAATGGTTCTTATAGCTTGATTATCTTAATATTAAAAATAGTGTATACATATACATTGTAACTGCTCCCATTTTAACTTACTTTACAAGAAATTTATCTAAACCTTTCAAAATATCACAAAACATAAAATTATCAACACGACTGCAATTTTTAAAAAAATATAAAATATCTGACACAAAATTAAATTAAGGATCAAGAAAATATTTTCGAAAACGCTCTCTGAAAACAAGTACAATATGATTATCAAGCAAATCAATTATTTGTAAAAAAAATCAATTAGTAGATTTCAATCATACCTAGGAATTTCTATTTCTATAACTATGAAACTAGTGTTTATTTAACTTATTTAATCATGCTTGCATCTGCAAGTAACAGGTATGATTTATATCTGACTATCATTAAGACCTCATATGTATACACAACATGTAAAAATAATGAAATTAATGTAATAATAAACAATTTAACTATTATTTTATAATATTATATCGAATAATACAATTACTCCATTCATTCAAAATTACCTGGGACGATGGCGACAGTTTTTAAAGCTCGCAGCACTCGAAATGTGCGGAGAGCAGCCAAATTTCCCAGGTCGATACCCATCGTTACATAACTAAATATTAAAATAAGTATAACTATTTATCATAACATCTAATATCATTAAATGAAAAATATAAAACATTATATAACCCTATCTAAAATATGATTTTAAGTTGTATACTAACTGCATGCTGTTGTAAGTATTAGCTAGGTAGAAATAGTTGGTTTTGAAATTTGTTTGAATGCATGCAATCTAATATCAATTTGTAAATAAACATTTATATATTATATATTTATTGAAAACTATTTCTAACTTATATTATTAATCTATGTATTGATATACTACAAGTTAAATTCTATATGAGCATTTAATTAATACTATTTCTTTAAAAAGTCATCTAAATTCTAATAGATTGGCGCACTAAAAGGATTACAAATTAGAACAAGTACAAAATTAAGATCATCAATTTTTTCAAAATAAAATAAGAATTTTCCTCTGAATATTTTTCCTGCAAGGAAATAATGAAATGAAGCCAATCTCTCCTAAGTAATGGGTGAGGTGTAATAATCTCTAAGAGTCTACGCCTACTCACGCTAATGTTATTACTACGAAGTCTAGCCAGTTCCATGCGTCTCTTAAATATGTAAAAGGCTGCAAGATGAAACCTCGGGCCATTACTTTTACAGCCGATTCGAACGTGTAGATTGCCGTGAAGATGACTCTGCAACCACACACGTCACATTATCGAATTTCTTTCGAAAATATTGCTTCGAAGCGAGTTTTTGAAGGTAATTTATGGATTGATAGCAAAGTGTAATAGAAACATAATAAACACTATACTGCTAGTTTTAAACATGTTTTGATACCTATTAGTCACAACATAATATGAAAACGTAATTAGTAAAATCTGGTTGTTCCTGCCAATCATTTCTGTAGTTTGACTCAGTGCTTATTTGTCGCTCAGATTTTCTATTATAAACAAAGGTGAACAAAAAATATCAATTATTATATTAATTTACTATGCCTTTAGTCGCATCATTAACAAGACAACTCGCAAAAGTTGATACTTTATCCTAAAATATAATTGCAAACGATTTAGATCTATAACAAAAAATATAAATTCATATTGGAGATATTGTGTTATCAACAATTACCACGTGATCTCAAGCAAATTTAATTACATTAATTCATAATTTTAATTTTAATTTTTTTTCTAGACTTTGGATCTAATTGGATGTGACTATATATACAAATTCTCAAACTTTGATTAATTTTTAGAAAGAGTGATGGAGCTAGGGGCTTATTGTAGTAGGGGTTAAAATTCTAAGAGCTTTTTGTAACAGACGCTTTTCAATGGGATCTTAAACAATATTGAAATATTTTTGTCAGAATTGGAGATCTAAATCATCTTGTATAATATTGTTCATAATTACTGTTCTGCAAGCCGACGAAATATACAGAACTATGCAGTTTCACCTTTTTTGTCATGTAATATAAAATTAATTTACATTAATTATTAATTAATTACTATAATTTTGAGTCACTATTATTTAGACTAATGCTAAATTTTATTATATTAATTATTTTGCTTCAACTTTTTTAATTTTTGATAATGTGTAACAATTTCTGTGATCGCTAACTTGTTCAAAGAAAATCTTGATTAATATAAAATAATCAATCCTGAGGTTAGTTGAAACAAAACCTTGGGGCTAGTTATATATAAAACTATATAAAAATAGTAGAGTAGTAATATATAAAAATTATATACAAATTCAAGTGAAGATGATTAGATGGAAAGTATAAGACATGGGCAAGATATCTTTTATTTGTATTAATTGTAGTTTACGTTGATTTATGATAAGAATTTCTGTTACAAGAGACACTATGTATTTTATTTGTATTAATTATATTTTGCGAAGACATATGAGAAAAAATACTTCAAAAATATGCTAAAATTTTATTGAAGCATATAGCTTCTAATTACTTCCTTAAACGCTTATAGATTGTTTTTTTATATATTTCAAACATCTTGCTAGCAATAATAGTCTATATAACAAGCTACCATATAAAATCAATGAATGACTCAACTAAATTCAAAATGAAAGCGTTAACCGCCTTGTCAGTCATATGGGTTTTTAGGATTTATTAAAAATAAGCCAAGAATAATTATCAAATATATTATAGTCGAATGTTTGACGTTACTACTTGCCCCAGTAGATAATACAACTATTGCCAAATACGAGATACGTTGTGACACCAAAGTTTTTCTAGAAAATGACTAATTGTCACATAATAAATAATAGTTATGGAATAATTTCCACTTGATTCGGTGGAAGAAAAATTACAGAATCTATTCGTATCTATTTTGTATAAATATGATCAGTGGATCGCAAGATATAATAATTGAAAAAAAAAACTTTTACAAACAGCCCCTAGCTTCTCTATATCGTATGCTAATTACAATAAACATTTCTGAAACTTGATAAACATACATATTTAAGAATTACATAAAACTTCATGAAAATAACAGAAGAAGTTATACGAATCCTGTGACTGAATACTAACAGCTGTATATTAAACGTTCTGTAATAATTTTGTAACTTTTGTAATTATCTTAAATTTAAGTTGTTTTTAGAAAATGTAATTTAATTTAAGGATAAAAACAAAATATGTGAGACCTAATACATTTCATATATAAATATATGATGTAATTTGGAATTACTGAATTGAAATTTGCTTCGTGATAAAACACCATTTAAATGATGTAACAATATGCAAATATTTATGTAAATGTATTAAAATAATGAGTTTATTCTTTTTATTTCTACCAAAAATATTTATGAAGGATAAATATAATAGGATAACTAGTAAATCATTCTATAGAACTTTACACGCTGCTAAACATAGATATTTTATCAAAACTAATATATATGAATACTAAATAACTCTACAAAACTGGATTTTTTCAACAGTTGTGATGAAGAATTATCGAACTAAATATCTGGATTTGCTAAATCTATAGACTTTTAATTGAAACATGAGATAACTATTGACTTCAAAAGTTATTTCTATTAAAAATGAGATAAAAGTTCTAGCATTTTATATTTTATATCTAGATAGAATTCTAAATTATCACTTACTCTGTGGATTCGACGGTCGGTGAGGAAGGCATGATCATGAGAATACAGTTGACTAAGATCGTTGTGATGATGAAAAGCGAAAATAAGGGATGCACTAAAATATAAATGGCGACTCGGCGTATAGGGTTGAACGGGTCCAGTATCCATAACGCGTCCGTTGCCGAGAAACGAAAAATATCCTTGCCCTTGCTCACCACTACGAAGGTCTGTAGGAAAAAATCATTTATATAATAAATATTGAAAATTATTCTTGATATAGTCATATATATTATATATTAGGGTGGTCCTTAATATGGATATTTTCGGTTTTCTTTGCTCCCAGGGGCTCAAATGCTTCCAAATTGATACAAAAAATTCTCTGTAAGTCTTAGATCACAACATTAACTTAAATATAGTCGGCACTCCAAGCAAAGTTTCTCATGGAAATAAGATGGGTAAAATTCTATTTGATTTTTATAATTTTATAACTTAGCCATAAAAGAATCAAAATATTGAGTATAACATTGAATTTGATTATTTTGATCATTAATAAAAAATACAACAAAAATTGGATACATTTTATAGAATAAGTATTTACTTAGGAAGAAGAAGCAAAAAACTTCGGTTTAGGTGTGGACTATCATAAGTTAATATTAGCTTCTAAAATTTTCAGAGAATTTATATTAATTTGGAAGCATTTGATCCCCTGGCGGCAAGAAAATACGAAAACATCTTTATTAAGGACCACCCTAATGCATATATACCTATATATATACAATATACATATATTGTTTATCGAAATAATATAATATTGCAATTGAGCTGGAATTTCCTCAGGCATATAAATTCTTCCTCAATACCATATTCACTTCCCCAATCAATTGTAAATTGTTTTCAACAATATAACTATGAAAATAATAACAATATTGGAAACAATAATAATCCATAATACCTAATTTAAGCTACCGTATAAATTCGATCAAAGATTTAACTTAATTCAAACTTAAAGTACAACAACATAAAGATAAACTAAACCAGATTTTTATGTACAAAAGAATTCCTGTTTATGTTGTTATTATATTTTCATGCTTAATAATATCTTACTCTAATAACTAGATGTAACTAAAATTTATTTCTGTTTATTATATTAAAGACAATAGCGCGCGTATCTTTTGCGATTGCTTGTTTAGCTGTATTAATTGCATCATCGAGTAAATATCCTATTCAGCATACCAATACATATTTTCCCAAGTATTTTTTTGACTTTCAGTTTATTATATTAGAAAACCAAACCACATACATACAGCACAAGATACATATAAAACAATCAACTATTAAAACATGTTCAGAAAATTTCCCAGTTATTGCCTAAATATAGATATATGGTATTTGCTATTTTTTCTGAAATTTTGCATTTGTATCCTTTTACTCCTTGGGGCAAGCACATTCGATGTCTAATTTTTAATTATAAAGAATTGTTGAAAATAAAAGCTACATTATTTAATTTACACAACGCTCAATACAAATTTCATGGGTCTAACTAATGAGTAAAAATTTATTTTACCTTTTTATGTTTTTCCTTATTGTTCAATGATCACTGCAAATGACTGCATCTTTGGACTTAGTTTTTAGAGATTTTTATAATGCTTTATAAAAAATTATTCAAATGATCAAACAAAATCAATGCCTCATGTATATCAATAATAATCAAACAAATAAAATCTATGCAAACAGTATTTTATAAATCTATTCTATGAGGAAGTTACGCAAAATAATTAACACAAAGAAATTTGCATTAATTTCTATTTGCTATTTGAGAAAAATCATTAGTAGAAATGGAAGGATAAATCAAGAAGCATTGCGCAGGATGGATAAAGTATTAAACATGAAATAAAAGGTTATATAGTTTGTAAGAAAATATAACACAGAAAATTGAATGTTGATACAAAGTATATAAGAGAATAAAGAAAAAGCTCAAGAAGTAGATTACACGAAAAAAACTGGCTTAAAATAGTTCCCGCTGCAAAGCACAATGTAATTTTTTCGCAATATTTCAAAATACAATAATCCTTTTATTCCTTCAAAATAAATCGAATTAAAAAGTTCAGCAAATAAGAAGTTCATCACGCTGAAAGAACTTTCAAGCTTGAACTTTCCGTTGAGTGAATGCAAAGCTCACAGTTGTTCGAAAGCGTACTGACAATGACATAAATAATACAACATACTCCGACTGTTATACTTCAGAAGTAAGAATATAATTCAACTCGTAGCATGTAAGTACACATGTGAATTTTATTTTTTAGCATTTCACATACGCAGTCAGTCGTATATTCTGTCGTTCAGTTAATCCAACTTAATTGAGCGCGGTAATTAAATAATGATATCGACCTACTTTCCGCATGATAAGAATCTCCGTAGAGAATACACTTTCATGGAACATACAGAGTACGAAGCTGTTATAATTTTCCATGTACTGCCAATTAATACGATGATGTCAACTTTATTAAAAGACTCGGTACATGTTGTATTATATTACAGCAAAAGTGGTGAAACTTAGCAATTTATCACTTTGTCATTTGGTAATTAAATAAAGCTAATGTAACCCTAAACGCAATTTTTACGATAAAAAAATTTTTCATTTGTATGTAAATATTTATATGTTTTCCTAATTCTTCTCATCGTAATTCGTATGATTGTGAAATAAGGAAAACTGGTCCCAGATTTTTTAATTATTTTTCTGAATCTTTACGAAAATATAATTTCATGTAATTTCAAATGTACAATTCAAATATATTTTAATAATATACATATAGTAATTATAAACTATGTGATTAAACTACAAATTAGAGTACGATTAATGCTCAATTTTTTAAAAATATTTGAACGTTGTGGTTTCAATTACTTTTTTAGATTTGCTGATGTAGTCCAAATGTAAAATACCTTTTGCTATCGGATAGTAGATAATTCAGCTGCTAATAAAAAAACTGTTTGATCAATTGCGTAGTTTTCGTTTGGCGTTCGATGAAAAATTAAAAATAAAATCAATTTTTTTGGTCATGTTTTGCTTTTTTTATGCAAAGGCAAAAAAGTTATGCGCTTTTTACTGTCAGAATTCGTTTGCCAAATTTTGTACTGGTTTTTATTTATATTCTGTCTGGTTGAAGTTGATCACAAAGAAATTGTCTACCTTGAACATCTACCATTAAGTCCTGACCATAACTTTTTGTAAGCTTATGACACCTCTTTACATTCGCAAAAATCAAAAAGAAATATTTCAAACATAGGCGATTTCATTATCCATCTTTCAACTAAAACCAAACAAAAACGATGCAATTGATCAAAAACCTATTTTTTACTGGTTGACTGCTGAATTGCAAGCTATCCAATAACAAAAAAATATTTTGCATTTGAACTAGGTCAGCAAAACTAAATATTCAATTGAAATCATCTAAGTGTGAAATCTGCACTCAGTTAGTTATCAATCTAATAAAATAATGATATACTACTATTAAAAAACTATTATAAATACCGAAAAAAACTATTATTTTGTAATTTTATATATTGAGATTCCTACAACATTATAGAAAGCTATAGATAAAAAATTAATCACATCTTTTAATCGATTGAGGAAGTAGTTATAAATCAAAAAACTGTACTAAAACATTAACAAAATCAAAAATCATTACTTATTTTATGATCATAGTATTCATTTCACTAAACAATTTTATAACAATCTTTAAATTTCATTTTTAACTGGCAAAAGTAAATTGTTATATATAACAAACTGTCAATTTTACAGGTGTCTCTTGTAGAAAAATAGAATAAATATCTAATTTTTAAGACTAAAGTAGGTATGTATTCTAGGGAAGAAATTCAAAAGATTTTTTTTCTTTTTTTTTCATATTTTCAAAGCTTAACTATTTAAAAAATATGTATACGAGAGATTTTAAAATTAAAATTATTTTCGGAGA